CCCCAAAACCCCAAAACCCCAAAACCCCATTTATTTAAAATGTAATTGAAGAGGAATTAAAAGTTGAGAGGGACTTCCTCAACCTCATCTTTAACTAGTCTCTCAGCTTGTTTGAGGAAATCTGTGCTATCTGAAAACCATGTGTCAACAATTTTGATGGCTAGTTTGGAAATAGTCATGTTTTCATGAGTCTGGAGGGTTTCAATTTTATCAAGCAGCCCACACTCTTCGATCATTGAGGGAAACTTTTGGTACAAATCCTTACTCAGACATATTTTGAGGATGGATAGAATGAGTAACTTCGCCTCAATCGAGACAACGTCAATAGCTTCGGAGAGCAGCTGGATGTCTTCTTGGTCAATACAGACAAGGTCGATTGCTGCTTTTATCAACCAGAGAGCTTCTTCCTTGACATTGACATCTTCGTTGTTCAGATATTTAAAACCGAGGCTATAAATTCCTTTCTCGTGACAATAGTCGACACAATCCTCATGTCTACTGTAGGAGAGGGAGATGAGGACTTCAAATGCTGTAACCTGGACTTTCTTATTGTCACTATCGAGCAAGGGTTGCACATATTGGAAAAGATCCCTGTCTGTGTATTCAGGTGCTTTCTCCCTGCAACGCTCAATAAACTCGCATATAAGTCTCAGAGTGAATTCTTGGATTAGTTGGTCAGGAGAGTGCAGGAGAATGATACTACTTTCTATGAATTTAGGCCCAAAAGCCTCCTGATAGATCAGCGCGTAAGTGTCTGTGCGTCTGAACAAGTCAAGGCCTTGTAAGCCAAGGTATATTAAACCGATTTCTTCATCAAATTTTGGCTCTTTGTATTCGTAAATAACCTTGTTAACGATCATGAAGATGGTGAAGTATAGTTCAGGCAGCATACTTTCTATTTCATAGCCGATTCTAAGGATGAAGTTGCAGAAGGTTATTAAAGTCGATTTGTGTCTGACAAGCTTCAGGTTTTCAAACTGATATTTGATAGCCAAACCAACCTCATAATTTTTGAACGCTTGGATTATGGCGAAGGGTATAGTTGACATCAAACTGGACAGAATGTAGCAAATCTTGCAGAAAACTTCCGCTGGGGTGTCCTTATTGCAGAATATCTCCATAAAAGTACCGACGAAGCTCTCATCTAGGATGTCTTGCAAGTCATTCTGTTCAGTGACAACAATTAGTTTCATTATTAATACAAGACAAATGTCTACATTTTCTATGTCCTTCATGAGTTTGATCTCATGAAGAAACAGAGAAATAGGGTTGTATTCCTTTATCAGTGAAAGGCTCTTGACGCCGCTCTCTGATAGTTCTTGGCAGCACTTAGATAAGGCAAGGTAGCAGATCGACTTTTCTAGCAAGGGAGGATCTCCTGAGAGCGCTTTAAATATATCAGGGATGTCTTTGTCTTGTATTTCTAGATATCTGGCGATTTGCACTAATATAAGACCCGAAAGATTGGTTTCTTTTTCTTTATCATTTTTAGCAAGCTTCTTAAAGTCTTTAGTGCGAATGTAATCGATTAGCTCGGAATATGAGCTAAAGTGTTTAGGAGGGAGGAGCGAGTCAATCTGATCCTGAATAGCAGAGCTCGACATTTTCTCCTTAAATTTACCTGAAAGATCTTCAGTCAAGCTTGCTATTTTTTCATCGCTCAAGGGAGTGTCTAGCCCTTGTAGGTCTAATTTGCGTTTTTCACTGAACATTTTTAGTTTCTTTGATTTTCTGAGAGAAGCGTTATTATTAGTTCCTTTGGTCATCTTGAACTCGGAGCAATTGAAGAGGCTGTCAAGCCTCTTCGAGCGAATGTCTTCGAGGTTATCTTTAGAGTTCTCAGTGTTGTCGTTCATGTCCATTTTATGCTGTAATTCAATGAATATATTGAATCTAGGGGTTTTGGGGTTTTGGGGTTTTGGGG